AAAAAAAAAAAAAAAAAAAAAAAAAGCAAACAAAACCCCAGGAAGCTCCATGTTAACAGTATATTTAAAAAGAAATCTGAGAATAGAAAGATTAGCTTATCCTCACTAAAACAACTTCAGCAGTTAGGAGGAAGAATATGAAATCCAAGTTAAATATTCATCATCAAAAACAGTCTTAGGAAGTGTACAGGCTCTTCTATTTCTTAATTAAACATTGCATTGTTAAGTTATATTGCCTTTTTGCAAAAATGCAAAAAATATATTTTACAAATTGGCTTCAGAGATGATTCTGATGTATCATGTATACAAAATCCTTTGGGTTTGGAACATGGACACATGACGTAAATATGAAGAACAAAACTCAAGAGCAATAATGCTTACCAGAGATTTTTATTTTGCTGCTAGACAGGAGAAAGAGGAAAGCCTTATATCTGCATGCCTGACATAAAGTAAATAATTATATGAACRTTCCAGAAGACAGTGAATCATAAAACAAAAATCAGAAGTACAAGGAATGCTGTTCATTCTATGGAAGGATTGCTAAAGCAAGTGAAATATTTCTTTACCACTACAGCGGTGCAGAACAGTCGGTACATGAGATWTATTTAATAGCATCTTCTGATCAGGCAAACACTGGAGATCTCTCCCTAGATTGTCTACTGTGATTCYTCTTCCTGCCCTCCTTCTCCTGGGGGACACAGAGGAGTCCTACTCTGTTTTTCTCYTTTCTGGACCCTGTCTCCTCTTCCAAATGATGTGGAACCTCTCCATACTCCTTTCCAAGCCTTCTTCATAGTGATGCAGATCCTTCTTCTCCTCCTTTTTGAAAGAGCTTTGCCCATGCAACGAGAGAGCGCTGGTGCAGAATGCAAGAATATTGAAACTTCACCCGATTCTGTGTTCCTGACACTGTGCATGCAGTACTTCCTACATTTGTGTGTAGGCAGGAGTGTTACAAGTGTAACAGGGCCTGTATTTGTAGTGTCACAATTTTAGAGTGTAGAGAGGAACATTTCCGTAAGATTTGAGGGTTTAAGAATCAAAGCATAAGCATCAACTTTTCCCCAGGTCAGAATTCTTTAAATGCTTAAAATGATACAATAAAGTGAATATGTGGTTTCTACTCAAAACAGAGAGTCATTTTAAGCTACGAAGAATTTTTAAAGCCTAAGGAAAGAGAAAACAGCTACCTTATCATAGAAGAACACAGCGTGTGTCATATCTCATTATGGCTTGCTTAATGATGCTTTAAGATTTTCTAACTTTTCTCTTTTTTTGCCTTTTTTTTTTTTTTTTTTCCGCTTTTTCAGAGCCTGAGGCGGGAGAGGTGTCCCCCCCAGTGGGAGCTGGTGTGAACAGCAACAGCTGGACCTTTAAATTTGGACCCGGCAATCCCAAACAAGGTGGTCCTGGTGAGTTGCCAGACAAATTCATTATCCCAGGATCTCCTGCAATCATCTCCATCCGGCAGGAGCCACCAAACAGCCAAATTGACAAAAGTGACTTCATTACCTTTGGCAAGAAGGAGGAGACCAAGAAAAAGAAGAAAAAGAAGAAGGGAAACAAGACTCAGGAGAAAAAAGAAAAGGGGAACAGCACAACTGAGAACAGTGACCAGTGAGGGTTTTATGCTGAAAGAACCCACTTAGCCAGTTTTTGTAATAATGGCAGATTTCTCCTATGTAGCAACTCCCAACTTCTTCCTACTGTTAACAAATTTCCTGTGTGTACAGACTTCAGAAAATCAGCAGGAAWTTCACAGTGTCTGTCTAAATTGCTTAACAGGTTTTGTCTTGAAAGCTTTATTAAGTCTGGTGTTAACTCTTTTTCTCCACTCTGGCTTGTTTTCAGAATCTAAAAAGCAGACACAAGTTTCCTTTCTCCTACGCCGAAAAGGAGAATCTTCACAGTACAGCCAGTGAGAGGTTGGACTCTCTGCACTGTGGTTCCTGTGCTCCTGTCTTGATGACACTCATAGACAGGTTTAAAAGTTTTAATATTGTGCAGCCTATATCTGATTGGAAATATATGTGTGCAGATGTCAGCTAGGTGATGTGAGATCAGATTATGAGATGCAAGAAGAGCTGATAAATACGCAACAGAGGAAACACCTAATGAACCAAAATGTTCAAAGATGTTCGGGCTGGGAAGGAAATGTCTGAAAGGAGATGACCAGACTTTTCAAATCTTGAGAAGTAGCTGTGTGGGAATACTGAATCCTGTACATGACGTATTGTACACACTCCTGCAAATCAAACCTCACATTTACAGCTCTTTAATATACCGTAAATTATATCTCTGACCAAGCCATTGGGAATATTATCCCTTAAAGCCCTGCATTATGCTGGCAAGGCTAGCCCTCAGAGTGTAAGAAGGGCAGGGCTGACATCCCAGGAATGTAACTGACTGTGATGCTCTGTGTCCCTATTTCCACTCTAATATTATTTTGCACATTATGTCTCTGAAAAAAGTCAGAGGTTTTCCATGACACTTATGCAAAAGAGAGAGAGAAAAGAAACATGTTAACTATGCTATTTGTTGTTTGAGATATTTATTTATAAAGAAATATAGCTGTAAATGTAAAAAAAAAAAAAAAAAAAGCCCTTTAACCCAAACAAAAGTCAGACTAGAGCCATTATAAATTAAATTGCTGCTATTAAAGTGCTTTAGAAAAATTGCCTGAAACATCTGTATTATATCGGCCACTTGCCAATAACAGCTTTATTCTGTCGGGTCACTTGGGGGCTGCCTCTTGCATGTATTAATAAATACAGTAATTTTTTTTGCATTAATATGCACTTTGAATACACATTTGCAAATGAACTGTCCTAATATGAAGAAATAAAAGCAAACTCCTCACACAAATGGATTTACTAGCCTGCTAGCTCTGTGCAGTACCTTGGTGTTACCTCCCACAAGCCCTTTTCTGATTTTAGTTTTACTTTTATATGAGATTATGAATTGCTGACCCTACTAACACTCATTATGTAAAATTCAAGTACTGTATGTATGCTGTATGCTCTTATAAGAATCCTGAAATATTTATTCTGTGCTTGTGTATGTGAATGTCAATGCAACTATTATTAGGGTGGACATTAAGCTTTACTGTTGAATGTAAATCCATTATTTCTTTTTTGTACACTTGTGAGAAGGTGGAGTAGTGTTAATTTTTTAAGCCACTGTTGGTTATCAGTTTTTGTGTATGAAACACAAGTAAAATATCTTTCTTAAATCAAATCATGTATGCATTTTGGGATTTATTCATAAGCATCAGTGAAGCTGAAGCCCTATGAATTACTAACCCTAAGGGTATATATGGAGTATTGACTATGATAGAGGATGTGGGTATAAAAACCAATACCTGTATTTTTAAACAGAATGTAGCTGATGAGGGAATTCCAAGAAGTTTTCTACTTTATTTTACACTCAGAGAATAATGCTCAATATTATATTAATTGAGAGTGTTTAAAGAGCTACACAGCTCTCAAATTTATAACAGTCCTTTTAATCTAAGATCAAAGAGAACAACTGGATTTTTTGAGACATGCCCTGCACATTTGAAGTTTTCAAATTGCTGACAGTTCAGAATAAGTCAATTACCATTCATTTTTAAAACCTGCAGCAAGTTTTAAGACATCATGGAAGGTAGGGCTTTAATAAAATAACTCCTTATCTCAAAGCATGAGCTTCATGAATCACAAGTGGCCTCCTGTGGTTTACTCAGAGTCTTCTTTCACTACCAGGCTCCTATTACTGGCAATAAAAGAGACAGTTTTACTCGAGAAAGAAATTGATTCAGTTTTACATGGTTTCCAAAAGGAAAAAGGTTTGTGTTGGGACAGAGGGAAGGGGGTGCCTATTATATTTTTCAGTCTTGCAAATAATAAGCAGGTTTCCTATGTAAGTACATTTAAATGCATTTACTTTTCCATTTGGTACCTAAACCAAGACCCAAAATGTCCATAAACTGGAGTTACAGTGTTAATTTGAACATATAAACGGGTGCTGCTGTCTTGTACTGTAGATCAGAAAGAGGTTCTCATCGATGCCTCTGGCAAAATGCACAACACAGATTTTACTCGTACAGGAAACTTTAATATTTTATCTCTTTTTTCTTTTGATTGAACAAATTGACTAAAGGTAGAAGAGAAAAGTAATTAAAATGCATTTATAATGTTATCATTTTTGTTTTACCAAAGTTTTAAATAATTTTTCTAGTGGTCTCATCTTTCCACTTGTTGTCTTTTGAGTGCTTGCATTTTCCGCTATACAGGACAGTCTGATTCTTCCATTTTTTTCCWTATCAGAGCAGGTCAAGAGCTGCAGCATATTTCTGATTTGCCCATTTTAACACAAAATTATGTTTGTCAATACTGGCATTGATGCAGATCGTTACAGTGGGAGGTCTAAGTAGGACTGCTTGGATGGCCTGGTAGGAAAAAGAGAAGGTAGGAAAAAGGAGAGGGCTGGAGATGTTCTTGCTGGAATTCTTTGAAATAAGGCTAGACTGCAGCAATGAAATATATGCTGTACATATTCAGTCTGTATTTTCAGAAGACTGCATCAGATGTGCCAGCAGGCTTTTGAAGGATTTTTCCTTCTTTSAATCTTCCACTACAACTGGAATACTGAGATATATGAAGTTAAATTTGTTTATTTCAAAACTAATATGCAGATGATAGCATTAGTTTTCTCAGATTTGGGTATCCAGGAAAAAAAAAAAGTAATTTATTGAATTAATAAGTTTTGGAGGACTGTGGATTGGGGATCAGAATTTGGTAACACGTTCTGTCTGGCAGTTTAGGGTTTTAAAATCTAAGCGCTGCCCAACAATAAGAATAAAGAATCAGAAATGGCTAAGACCAACAATAATCAAGAATGAGCAAAGCAAAAGTGCATTGCAGAATTTGTTAAAAAGTAAAATAGCATTTATTTTGACCATTTGAATCTGTAGTGCTAAATTCTGAGCATGTTATTTTTGGAAGGATGGGGGTTTTTTTGCGTAAAGGGTCAATGACAACAATCACTGTTTTTTTTAGAACAGTCTGAGTTATGTTGTATATTAATCACATCATGTCCTTATGAAAATGTCTCATTTTATATTAGACTTTCAAGAATAATCTTCTGTGATTTCTTTCTACTCTGTATTTAGGTCAGGACATCCAGGACAACCAATTATAGTTTTCCACTCATCTCATGTACAGGGAAGAATGTAGTGCCCATAATACATTTCCCAAAATGTATGCATAAAAATCCATTATGGAATTATTGCAGTCAGCTTTGATATTTTTTAGAATCATCTTTAATTTCCTCTTTCTCTTCATTCCYTTTATGTATTTGAAGACCTACTTCCATTTTTGGAAGAAGCCAACAGGTTATTAATTGACTTTCTCCCCAGGAGATATGTAAGCTACCTTTATAGAACAATGCTTATTAGTACATAATTAACTGAATACAATTTATATAACATACATAATTCATATTGGCTAGACCTGTCCCTTTTTGAGGTTTTAAAGTCTTAAGGTGCCTGTAAATACTGTTTCCTACAGGAAAACCACTTATCTTATTAGCTGCCTAATCTATATATAGCTTATATGGGGAAATGTGAAGAAAGAGTCTATGATTCTTCCTGCCTCCTTCCACCAAAAGCTTCAGTTAGAAAGTGCTTTATGTACTTCTAAAGTTGCCTGTTCTCTAAATGTAATTACATTCTCAATATTTTAAGTCAATACACATTTGGCCTTGGTTATCTTAGTCCAGCTTATGGCCAAGCTTGTGTCTACAACCAGGTAAAATAAACTGTATATAATCTTCCTTCCTTTATCCTACTCTCTGTTAGCAGCAGTTCTGTGGGTTCCCTGTAAGGGAGGCACYCTGGCATTCTTCTTAATTTGAGTCCTATGAAATTAATAGATTCCTCATTTTTGCTGTTACTCCATTACTACTGGCTGTTCTTTGACACAGATCTCTACTTTTTTCTAAGATGGTACCAAGAATCTAGTATTTTCTTCAGAGCCCTGTAAATATTCAGAAGTATCACTTTGATTAACAGGTTGGCTTTAGTGATTGTGTGCACTGAAGTCCTTTTTTCCTTCAAATCTCTCTAAAGGGGAAATAAGTGAATATCTGAGCAGGATTTTGATATYATCACATGTAGTTTAATCTGCATTAAGCAATTTTGTGCCTTTGAATGCATAGGACAAGCTGAGGAGACTCCAAGCAATGCATTAATTGCCTGCAAAAAGGTCCCATATTACRCTGCCATGCACCTGAGCAGCTAGTTCTGCACATTACTTGTACAACAGATTAGACAAGCTSAGTGTATAGTGTAGCTGTGGCAAGAGAGATGCTGTAATCATGACCTTGTTCTACTTAAACCTACATACTGAAAAAWCAATATAACTAGCATATAAATTAACTTTCCATAAGCTGTTGGTATGATAATGCCATGCTCTCAGCTCTTCTGTATTCTTTGTCCTCTCTATGGTGCCAATCCCCCATTAAAGGATCCATTGACATTGAAGAATATATGTATGTATTTTGTGACATGGTTATGTTGTTATGCAACACCAATTGCCAGGTGTCTTCTTCCTTGGAGATATTCAGAAGTCCTATGGACACAATCCTGGGTAATGTGTTCAAGGCGATCCAGCTTAGAGAATTAATAAGGAGTCCTGCATTATGAGTTACTGAATTGGTTCATATGGTGAAAAAAAAGCACTTACATGATGCTATAGATTCCCTTTCACATTCTCACACTGCCCAATGGMAATGACTCTACCACTGAGATTTTAGTATCAAAATATCAAAACATGATAGTGATCATCTCTCAGAGCTCACACTATTTGCTGTTAAAAATGGTTGCCCAACAGTAGTGTCCAGCACCATGTAACTGTCATCTGAATAAAGGTAACGAGTAGCTCACCAGCATTTGGAAGCTGATGTGTGTGTGAACTGATTAGTGTGAGAGAGACAGCAATGCAAGAGCATGAACGCTGCCGGAGTTGAGTAATTAATCTGAGCTGACTTTTCCCAACACTGGTAACCTCAGCGGTGGGCAGCTTCATCCATCTAGGTGACAGGGGCTCGGAGTTGCTTTCCAGCCTCACACTCATCTGAAGATCTAGTGCATAGCAGATAAGAGGCAAGTCTGCAAACATTGAAGTGTTAGAGGGGATTTAGGCAGTATTTAGATACTAACATTTGAGAAACTCATCAGGAATGCTCAAGATGGATAAATCAAAAAAAGATTTTCTTACCCTCAGGGTCTGTATATCTCATCATACCACCTACTTGTAGACCCAGAAAGTTCCTTACATGACCAAATTTAGGCTGCTACCAAGAATCACAGAAGTTATCAGGAGCTTTGAAAGACACACATAAGTGTGTTTTGTTAATCTACCTCTATTGCTGTCACAATATAAATGCAATGCAGAAGACAAGGTGTATCTTACCCTAAAGGGAAAATGCATTGAGAATTGCAAAGAGCAAATATCTTCCTCTGCTCTTAGAGAGGAATACAAAATAAAATAATAAAATAAAATACATTTTTTTYCTTTCCTGAGAACTCATCTCATACCCACAATGGAAGGACTCTGATGGTCACATATGGTTAGATTCTGACCAACAGTGCAAGCAAAAAGGAGAGAAAATGAGGGATCTCAGATTAGCAAGGAACATGCCAGTACTGTGTGGCTGAATCCTTCTACAGTATTGAAAGATACCAGAGACCCAACATGTAACAGGTCACCCAGTGCGCCAAATGCTTTGCACACTAAATACTTAGTGCACTTACTTGCAGTCAGAGGGAGGGGATCTGCTCTGCTTATAGATCTTGCTAATGGCCCCCTGGGTCAAGCAAGCTTTCAGAATGAACAGCCCTTGTCATCCACAAAGCTGTCAAATACGCTGTTTGGCTGATGGCAGAAACTGCTGACCTGTGAGTTGTATTGCTCCAGTTGCTTGTGCCTAAGCAGAATTAAAACCCATATTAGATGTCTTTGCTAAGTGCACTTTGTGCACTGCTGGGCTCTCACTGTGAACATGCCAAGCCAAGCTATGTAGGTGCAGGTGTTTATTAGTGTGCACACAGCCTGATACAAAACRTGCTGCAAGTAAATC